TAGAGTGAGATCGATTGTGAGATCGATCGTGAGATCGATCGCAAGGTGGGTAATGAGATCAATGGTGAGACCGAACGATGTCGAGATCGACCAAGAACCCAGAAACCCGGGAACCCCGCCGTCCACCGAAATCGGCCTGGAACCAACAACCTGGAACCAAGGAACTTGGAGCCTGGAACCCGGGAGCCCGGCCGCCTACCAAAATCGGCTGGGCACTTTCGCCAAATCTGTCAACCTCCGCGAGGATACCTTCAGTGCAAGCACTGATTGAGGAATGCGGAGCTCGACTTGGCACCGACGCAATCGTGTTAAACATATGCAAGAGCTTCACGGATGGAGGGCGGGCCGTTTTCAAAATGAGGCTCTCGCCAAAGTGTCGCGCACATGCGTTGCCAAAAACCTTGCAAGATATTCACTGATGGAGGGTGGCTCCGTTTCAAAATGTGGCTCTTGCCGTAGCACCGCCAACATTCGTTTTAACATCAGTTTCATCAGTTTCACGGCTCTCATTGCGAACGTCCCCAAAACGATGTTTTGTCACGATGTCCGGCTGTCAGAGCGCAACAACTACAATGAAACGTGGTCGTGCAGTCCCAGGAAAGGCGTTCTGGCACGATTCCGCACCGTCAAGACGCATCAGTCACGGTGATTCGCGGCGCCGAGGTACTAGGGATGGTGTCCTGGCAGGGTCAAGGTTTTCAAATGATTGTCGTCCAACGGGGCACTTCCCTCGGTGCAAATCAACCATGGATCCTGGACGACAACTTTTAAACAATAACATACAAAAACAATCAACAGCTCAAAACATCGTCCCCAGACTTTGGTTTTACTATTTTTGAGCACTCCCCCTGTAGAGGGGCACGCCCGACTTAAAACTTGTAGGGGCCCATGAAGAGGGAACATGCCAGGAACACTTCTTGCAATATCGTTGATGTGTCTTCGGTCGCCACTGGTCCCCCTCCTCCTCCTCCTCCTCTTCCTCCTCCTCCTCCTCCTCCTCCTCCTCCTCCTTCTCCTCTACACTGGAGTGGGATTTAGAGCAACCCCTTCCGTTGTTTATTATCCTTTTCAGCCCCTGGGGGCCCTTCACGGCCCTGGCCGACTCAGGACGCAAAGCCGATCCTAAGGAAGTCGTCCAGATCCCGTGGGACCCACGCATCGAAAAAACTGGAGCGCCGGATGTCTGGGAAGTTCTCGCTCTCGCGCCGCCCCCGCCAAGGGAGAAGAGGAGGAAGAGGAAGGTGAGGATGGGGAATCGCGAATCGCGAGCCGCGAACAGCTCCGGGCCCTCGTGGCGGCCCTTGACCGCCCCCCCCCGTCCTGACAAAGCTTGCCCTCGGCTGCGGGGTGGGTTTGTCCTGTAGCGGGACAACCCTGACCTTCCAGGAGGGCTAAAAAAATAGCACCAGGACCTCGACACCTAAATCCCTGTCGACGTTTTTGGCCCGGGGCCCACCGCCCATGGCACGCCGGAGCGCGCCAGGGGCGGCGCCGGATGGCGCCGCCAGGAGACTCTGGCGCCGATCCAAGGAAGCTGATGGGCTTGTTTCCCACCACCACCACCACCACCATAAGTTGGAGGGGGGAAGGAGGTGGAGCATGAGGAGGAGGTATAGGAGGAGGAGGAGGAGGAGGAGGAGGAGGAGGAGGAGGAGGGGGAGGGGGACCCCCTCCCCCTCCTACTTATGGTGGTGGCGGTGGAGCACAAGCCCATCAGAAGCCGCGCGGACCTCCGAAAGGGGAGCTCTTCGAGGGCTTTGCTGCCGGTGCGCATGCCATGCCCGCACCTTCGGCTCTGGGGGGCCTCCCGGGAGGCCCTCGTCGCCACGGCCGGATGTGCCGCGGAAGCCGGATCCGAACGCACCCGAGCAGAGGTCCCGGAGTACGGTGAGGGCATAGGATAGGGAGGCCTTCCTTCATTCATTCATAGCTCATGGGGTCCAGTTCCAAAGTGAAGCAGAAAGCAAGCGTGTCTCAACAGGAACTGTTGCTCCGAGAGAAAGCGAAACCTCTAAACTGCCCTCGGGTTGAGCCCTGATGTGGCTTAACCTACGAAGCCGACGAGTTCACTGCTTACAAATATGCATTCCACGCTGGATAAGGAATCCAGGGTCTGGAAGCTGGTGGAACACGATTTGGGGCTTGACCATGGAAATCACCGCCGCCCTTGCCAGGTAAGGAGTCCTCCTGGGCACATTCCTCAACCAGCACCCCCACCGTAGCAGTTTCATGAGAACCGCGTGTGGGATCGACCTTCGGGGGCCTCGGAAGGCGGTGGGCACGGATAGATTCGGTCCGCGGGGCGGGCAAATACCTTGCCATTGCTCGGGTGCCCGTTCCCTGTGCGATGCACCTCTGCTGAAAGTTCAACTCTTAGGTCGGGCATGTCCCCCTACAGGCGGGTTTTGGACGAAACATTTTAAAACATCAAACAATTGTTCAACAAAAACAGGAATGGTCGGAAAAGCGTCCCCTGTCTATTTGTTTACTATTTTTGAAGATTCCTCCTGTAGAGGGGCATGCCCAGCTTAATTCAAGTCTTTTCTTGCTAAAAAAATGGACTTCACTCCAAGCGTTCTCTTAAACAACAGGTCGGATCCACATATACGCACAGTCTACGAAGAAGCGGAAGCTCCAAGAAAACGCCGAGGGTCTAGCCCAGATTCTTGAGCCTCTTGAGCGAAGTCTGAAGTCCACGAAAGTCGACGCGTGCTGTTAGGATGCCTGATGGGCCTGGGCGTATTCGGCCTCGTGCGCAAGATGATCCGATGTGTGATTGCACCAGCCTAGCAGACGTGCTTCAGCGGATGTCTGCACTGGCGAGCCAAATAACGACGCGACTTTCACGTGTTTGTTTGTGTTCATCTTCATTCCTGGCCAACAAACCAACCCGCACGAAATCACCATTCCTGGCCAATCCGAACGACATTCTCCAGGACACTCCAGGCCCATCCTGTCGCTTTCCGGACGGGATCCGCCCTGCGATGTTAACACCATGAGATGTGCTCCCGGACAGTCCTAGGTCGGGCGTGTCCCCCTACGGGCGGATTTTGGAGGAATAATTAAACAGTTCAAACATATTGCAAACATAAGCAAACATGCTCAGAAACTCGTCCCCAGACATTTGTTTGGCTATTTTTGCAAATTCCTCCTGTAAAGGGACACGCCCGACTTAAGGATAGTCGTAAGTCGGGCCTGTCCTCCTACAGGGGGATTTTGGACGACAAATAATTAAACAAAAACTAAAAACATACGCCCAAATGGTCAAAACATGCGCAACATATCGCCCCCATATCATTTTTTGCTACTTTCGAAAGTTGCTCCCGTAGAGGGACACGCCCAACTCTCAAGGAGAGTCCCGTTTCTCGTGGCGCTGGCCTCGCCGAGGGAAAGAACAGTCCACGTCCAGGGCGGTGCCGAGAGGTGCGTGGGCGCCTTGCCGACGGAGCTTTAGCGATTGTTGGCCAACGCGCTCCACGACTCGCGCAAAGTGACTGCCCGGAAGTGGCCTGAAGATCCGCCGCGGGAGATTCACGATACGTTACACCAAGGGAAGGCGTGTGTTTTTTTCAAACGTTTGCGCGTAGGCACTTTTGAAGGGGCCCTGGAACACACAAACAGATAGACACAAATAACAAGATCCCCCATATTTGCTCATATGGTCTGGGTGGTTGTCTTCCCCCCCACTTCCCATATTTTCAATATTTTCTGGGGAATCGACGATTCGTTGTGCCTGTGTGTTTTTGTCCCTCCTGAACTCTGCGAGCAATGGAACGCGCTCGGTGAGTGATGGTCGGGGCGCGAGCGGGCGTCCTCGTCCCTCCCCCCGCGCTGGAGCCTGGCCCAAGAGGTAGGACGCTCCGCTTGGCATTGGGTCGGGCATGTCCTCCCACAGGCGGATTTTGGACGAAGAAGAAAAAATGCCAAACAATGTTCAAACATTGTCAAAATAATGCTCGACAAATCGTCCCCAGACGATGTCTTTGCTATTTTCGAATATTCCTCCTGTAGAGGGACACGCCCAACTTAAACGTAGGACGCTCCATCTGGTATTCACTCTCTTCACACCGTGTGTCAGATCCCTTCTGGATCCGATGTGCCAACATCGTTCACTGCACACCTGAAGCCCAGTTGACCACCCTCCAGCTCGCAGCGAAGACGGAACGGAGTGCCAGGGGCAAGCCCATTGCAGAGACCGCCAGCCTGCCACACAGAGCGAGCCGGGACACGAACAAGGGGAGGGGCGGGGGAGCGGAGGGAGCCGCGGGATGGGCAAGGCCCAGGGCTGCTCACACATCCCCAGACAGCCCCAGGAGGCACAATATACGGCAATTTCGCGTCGTATCGACTCCGGCGCTGGTTCCTGACACCACGGGGATCGATCAAACTTGAACGATCGGCCGTTCTGTGACGGGCCACAGGCGTTCAACCTTAAACGCCCGTGCTGGGGTCGCCGCCGGTTGACACGACGCGAACCTGCCGTAGACACAGAAAAGACAACATCTTGCAATCAGAGATCTTGGGGCACAGGCTTCGGCGAGCTTTGAGGGCCCTGAGGTGCCCCAGGGCTCCTGTGGGTTCCCCGGGCCATCGGGTGATGAGACACTTCAGTGGGACGTCGGCTGGCAGGCCCCGATGGCCCCAGCAAGCATCTAATTTAGTCCACACGGCTAAGTGGCCACATGTGAACCCTACCCCCACTCCCCCCGATTCTAAGGGGGGATGGGGGTTCACTCCGCTCGGGAGCTCACAATCGTAGGGGGTGGGGGTCGGGGTTCGCATGTGGCCACCGAGCGGCACCCCAACCTGTGATGTTCAGTAAGCACGCTACCGCGACAGGTGCTTGTACGTCCAAGCCCTGCAGTACGACGCATGCGGGCGGCGTCACAATACATCAGCACGCCCCTGGGAGGGGGATAGAACAAACGCTGCCCCGACGATGGTGAAAGATGAGAAAAGAAGATGAGGTCCTCCTCCTCCCAGAGGTGGAAAAGATTTTACAAGGAGTCGTTTTACATGCCGCCATATGTACGTCCAAACTTAGACTTCAGTGAGCCCCATTGGAATAGGGCCCGCTGGGGGAAGTCTGTGCGAGGCCTGGTGGCCATGCCCGTGCTCGAGTAGAGCCATCGTGTTCACTGGCCGAGCGCTGGACTTCGCGGCGGTGGAATCACTGGTCGACCATAATTTGTCCAGCTCGCGGTCGCCCTGCTCGACATCCTGCAAGGGATCATTTGAGGCATTGCCACCTGCGCGTCCGTACCTGTCAACCACGGGCAGCAGCTCCTCAGAAATGAACTCCTCCGACGTGTCGTCGTGTGCCTCTGCCATCGCATAAAGAACTTAAGTGTGTTCCTCTCTCTGTATGTGTATATATATATATATATAGACCCCTCTCGTTGTAGTCTTGTTGATTTCTCCATCTCTCTCTCTCTCTCTTTCTCGCTCTCGCTCTCTCTCTCTCTCTCCCTCTCTCTCTCTCTGTGCAAATCAAACTATATAAATGTGTATTTGTATAGATGTGCTCCTTCACTGTCCCTGGGTGCGTGGCTGACGTGGGGTTCTGCGGTGCAGATTGTTGTTGCGCTGTTGTTTCCGAACTCTGATCTCCAAACAACAATTGCTTGTCTACTATAGTACTCCACCTGGGGCTCGCACCCTACTTTCCTGGAAAGGGCGTGGGCCCAGGATTCTCTTGTAGGGGTTTCACTCCGCCGAGATTATTTGCGGTACATAACAAGGTCGCGTAGGGCCAGCGAATTCAGATGTTGAGGATGTCTCGAGCGAAACGGCTGTGGTGTTCGTAAGTAGTTGAAGATTTCTCGAGCGACACGCTTGTTTCGTGTTATGAATTGTTCCTCTCATAGGGACCAGGATTCAGAGGATGTCTCAGGTTAAATGCTTCTTCTCACGTGCCCAGATCTTCAGGATCCCTCGGGAGAGACGCTTGGTGTCATGCGTCCAGGTTGCCCAGGCAGATGTCTAGCATGATGGCTTGTTGAGGATGTCTCGAGCGAGACGCCTGGTGTCACGCATGGAGGTCGCCCAGGCAGATGTCTAGCATGAGGATGTGTTGAGAACGTCTCGAGCGAGACGCTTGGTTCCACGTATCCAGGTCGGCCAGGCGGATGTATAGCATGAGGATGTGTTGAGAACGTATTGAGCGAAGCCCTTGTTTGCACGTATCCAGGTCGCCCAGGCGGATGTCTAACATGAAGATGTGTTGAGGATGTCGAGCGAGACGTTTGCTTTCACGTGTCCAGGTCGACCAGGCGGATGCCTAGCATGAGGAGCCGTTGAGAACGTCCTGAGCGAAACGTTTGTTTTTACGTGCCCAGGTTACCCAGGCGGACGCCTAACAGGAAGATGCGTTGAGGACGTCTCGAGCGAACCACTTGTTTTCACGTGTCCACTTCGCCCAGGCGGATGTCTAGCATGAGGATGTGTCGAGGATGTGTTGAACGAAACGCTTGTTTTCACGTGTCCAGGTCGCCCAGGCGGATGTCTAGAATGATGATGTTGACAGGATGTCTCGAGCGAAACGCTTGTTTTCACGCGTCCAGGTTGCCCTGGCAGATGTCTAGCATGAGGAGGTGTTGAGAACGTCTCGAGTGAGACGCTTGGTTCCACGTATCCAGGTCGGCCAGGCGGATGTCTAACATGAGGATGTGTTGAGGATGGTTCGAGCGAGACGCTTGTTTTCACGTGTCCAGGTCGAAGATGTCTAGCATGAGGGTTTGTTGAGGATGTTTCGAGCGAAACGCTTGCCGCGGTAGAGCGCATCGCAGTCCAACCCATCCCGTCCGTGGGCCGTCCCCTGGCGCGCTGGCGCGTCCCCTGGCGCGTCTCTTGCGACGTTCAGGCGTGACGTGCCCTGGCACGTTCCCTGGCTCGCCCTCCATCGTGCTTCCTGGCCCGGCCCCAGGCGTGCCCCCTGCCCATTCCGTGGTGCGCCCCTTGCAACTTCCCTTGGCATGACGTCCTCTGGCCGCCCCGTGGCTCGCGCCTTGGCACGTCCCGTGGCAGGCCCTTGACACGTCCAGGGCACGACCCTTGATACGTCCCCTGGCACGCCCCCTGGCGCATCCTCTTTTGCGCCCCGGGCACATCCTGCGGCGCGGCCGTGAGCCTGTGCCCCGTCTCGCGCCGTTCCCTTTCGGAGCTGAGTCGGATTTTGAGGTCGAGTGGATTGACTGTCCCGCAAGTTTCCATTTCAAGTAGCTCTGGGGCAGCTACTATGTGCTCAGGTAGCTCGGGCTTACGATCCAGATCGCTTCGGTCCCGACCTGGATGCAAATGAGGACTCGATCCACAACGCTATAGAGCACACTCGCGGCATGGCACACCGCAAATCAGCACGGCGCAGCACAGCACAGACCTTGGCACGGTACATCAAGATCGCTGCACTCAGCCTTGAAACTTGGCACGTTCCTTGGCGCGTTCCGTGGCGCGTCCAATAGCGAATCCTCCTGGCGCGTCGCGCGGCGCGTCCCCTGGCGGGTCCCGTGGCACGTCCATTGGCACGTTCCAGAACGCGTCCCTTTGGTACATCCCGCGGTGCGTCACCACCGCACGTCCCCTGGCACGACCCCTGGTGCGTCCCTTGGGACGTTCCGCGGCGCGTCCCCCTGGCGTGTCCCCCTGTCAATTAGCTCTGGGGCAGCTACTGTGTGCTCAGGCAGCTCGAGCTTAAGATCCAGATCAGTTCGGTTCAGTTCTTGGATGCAAAGGGGGACTCGATCAACAACGCTATAGTGCACAATCGCGGCATGACACATCGCAATTCACGACAGCGCAGCACAGCACAGCCCTTGGCACGGTATGTCAAGATCGGTACCCTCAGCATTGCAATTGCCCGTCGCCCGATCAAGTGTCTTAAAACCGGTGCCATACCTTACGTTTCTGTACTAGTTTCCGGATTCGTGGGTCAACCATGCTTTACGAGGAAAGCTCTTGGGCCTCATATTGGACCCCAAGCTACCGACTTGCAACAACAACCGCTCCCGCCTGATACTTCTCGACCGTGTATTTGAAACTGGCGCTTTCGCGCGGGACGTCCTCACAATTTTTGTAACATTGCACCCTCGTGTGGGACATCCGAGCAATTTACCCACACGCCGCGCCCACGACACTATGGAATCACGCTCTCGCGCTGGCCTTTCTCACGACTTACTTAGGAATCGCGCTATCCCAAAGGGGCACGATCGGACACGAAGACGGCGGGTATCGAGGGTGTGGGATGTCAGTAGCGAAGTGCACGCGGACATATAGAAGCGAACAGTGTTAGAGTGTTGCTGTTGCTGTTGTCGTTGTTGTAGTTGTTGATGGTGCTGCTGTACCTCTAAAGGACGTGCTGGGGCTCAACTTTCACCCCCTGGCCCACGACTTACCACAACGACGGCTCCCGCGTGATACGTCCTTACAAGTTATGTCAACATGGCGCTCTCGCGCAGGACCTCATCACACTGTATGCAGGAATCGCACTCTCGCATGGGACTTCCCCTCAATGTACGCCGCGCCCTCGGCACTCAGGAATCATGCTCTCGCTCTGGGCTTCCCCGCGATGTACTTGGGAATTGCGCTATCGCTCGATACCTCGTCGCAATGCGTGCAGAACTCACGCTTCAACATTCCAAGTGTTCGACTGTGCCGCCGGGGCCCGCCTTCCCGACCCGCCCATTAGGTTCAGCCCGCCCGATCAACCCGCCTGGTTGGGCCACGTGGTTTCTGCTCTTAACCCCCCTCCTGCTAATATATTTCGTGTTCCATCCGTCCCCCTTTCCCCTTTTCATCCGTCCGTGCCCCCCCTGTTCAGGAGCTGCGGTAAGTACGCGTGGCAAGTAAGGAAGATAGACCCTCAACGGGGTACGATCGAAGACAAAGAAGGCGGGTATCGATTGAAGGGTTTGGGACAGACGTGTTGGGAGGCATGCGAGCAGCTAGGAGCGAACAACCGCGCAATGAGTGTGACATTTCTCGTTGCTAAGAATATGGCTGCCCCCTCAAGTGCACCTTGTGTCTATTGAATGAAACTGCTCCGACTGGGGATCGCACCTTGCCGCTAGCACAAGAAAACATTGCGGCTCAGCTTGGGCGGGTGGCCCCCGACTTGCCACAACAACGGCTCCCGCCTGATACGCCCCCCACAATGGATTTGAAAATCGCGCTCTTGCGCGGGACGCACTCACAAGTATGCAGGAATGGCGATCCCGCGTGGGTATCCGTCTTATCACGCGGCGCTTTCGACGCGCAGGAATCGCGCTCTCGCTCTTGCGCTTCTCATGACTTGCTTGGGGATGGCGCTGTCGCCCTTCACCTCCTAGCGTTTCATGCAAGACTCACGCTTCAACAACCCGCCTGCTCGAACTGGCCGCCTGGGCCCGCCGTCCCGACCCGCCCGTGAAGGCCATTCCGCCCAATCGGCCCGCCTAGTGGTGCCACGTGGTTGTTCCTGCCCAACCCTCCTGCGAATGTCTCTCGTGTTCCATGGGTTTCCCTCCCCCCTCCATCCGTCCTGCGTCCCCCAGTTCCAAGGGCTGTGCCAATTACGCGGGGCAGGTAAGGAAGATCGACACCCAGAGGGACACGATTGAAAACGAAAACGGCGGTATGGGATGTACGTGTTGAAGGGCACGCGAGCAGGTGAGAGCGAAGAAGTCTACTTTGATTGTTGCTGTTGGGCCACCATTATCCTCAAATGCGGCTGTCACTCAACATGCGCCGCCTGGGGCCCACACCTTGTTTCGAACACTGAAGGACCGTGCTGCTCAGATTGGGCACTTGGCCCCCGAACTACACCAACGATGGCTCCAGCCTGATACTTCTCCACACTGTATTGAAGTTCGCGATTTCGCGCGGGACTTCCTCACAACGTATGCAGGACTGTTGCTCACGCAGCTCTCGCTTTGGATTTCGTGGATCGCGGTATCGCTCTTGATTCTTGATCTCCTCGCGATTCACGCAGGCCTCGCGCTTCAGCAGCCCACGTGCTCGACCTGGCCGCCTGGGCCCGCCTTCCCGACCCGCCCGTTCGGGTCTGCCCGCCCGATCTGCTAGTCTGGTTCTGCCACGTGATGTCTGCTCCTAGCCCCCCTTCGTTCTACTCTCTCTCTCTCTCTCTCGTGCTGTATCCTCCTCCCTCCCCCTCTTGCCCGTTCCTTACGTTCGTCCCCTCTTCCCCTGCCGTCGGGGCTGCACGACATGTAGGTTGCAAGTCATGAAGATATTTACGTCCTAGGGGTTACGATCGGAGACGAAGAGGGCGGGTACCGAGGGTGCGGGATATACGTGGTGAGCGTCACGCGAGCAGATAAAACGTGCAC